CCACCGCCACACTCCTCCCCCATTTTCTCTCAAATTTTCATTCAATCCTCCAAGGATTTTGAGGGCTTTTGAGTGGTTTTTCATAGGGTTTTGATTTTAGGCTTCAAAAGGTAAGAATTCATGCTCTTTATCTATGATTTATTTGTGTAAAAGTTGAGTTCTTATAAAGTTTATGCTAGGGTTAAGAGAAGATTTGAATCCAACAAGAGTAGAGAGCTTAGGAGAGACTACTCAAGCATAAGGTAAGTAAATTCCACTCAAAATCCAACTCAAATTAAAGTTTAAGAAAATCAAGTGAGTAGAGATTTCTTTTAAATATGCATATGTTACGATTATTGAGAAATTGAGATGAGATGGATGATTAGTTATGCTTGTTGTTAGATATACTTGAATATGAGGAATGTATGTGATTGGTTGAAATTGGAAGAATTTGAGAAACTTTTGGAAGTGTTTTTGCCGTGTAGGTATGGTGATGTTACAAGAGAGTTTTTCTCTCAATTTGGATGGTTTAAGAAACAAATATAATGATAATTACATTAGGGTTTGTTTATGCACAAGTATTATTTGATAAAATGCCTAAGAGAAGTATGAGTTGAGTAGAGTAGAAACCTTAATTTTATGCAACATTACATATGTGCATTTCATAAGTGCATGTAAGTAAGAAATTTTAAGCATGAGCCATCCATATGCATATAATTGTGTATGTGTAGAAACTTAAGAAAGAATAAAGAATGAAGAATAAAGAATAAAACACTCTAAGAATAAAGAGAAATGAAGAATAAGCATTAAAGAATTAAAGAGTGTTAAAGAAGAGAAAAGAATAGGTTGTTGTGGTGGGGAACCGTGAGTACTAAGAAGAAATTCCCACATACACGCCACCTTAATTGAGTGGCATAAGAAAAAGAAGAATTGTACGACCTGTAAGAGTGTACGTGGATAAGGGTTGTACTGAGAAGAATTCTTACATGCACGCCACTTTAATTGAGTGGCTTAAGAAGAAAGAAGAAGTTGTACGGTCCGCAAGAGTGCATGTAAATGAGGACTGCACTCACTCTCACAGCCAAGGTTCCAAATCCATACATCAACCAAGTCCGATCAGCAAAGAATAAGAATAAGAAAAGAAAGAATAAGAATAAGAATAAGAATAAGAAAAAAAAGAATAAGAATAAGAAAGAATGAGAAGGCTTGAACAAGCCAAGAAAAGAAAAACAAGAAAGAAAAGAAAAGAATAGAAAGAAAAAGAAAAGAAAAGAAATAGAAATAAGAAAGAAAAAACATTTTATGCATTATTGCATATGCATTTTATTCATGCATATTGCCATGAATTTCATCATGGTTAGGAAGAATGGAAAGAATAAGAAAGAAAGAACAGAGAAAAAAAAAAAAAAAAAAAAAAAAAAAAAGAGAAAGAAACAGCGAAAGAAAAGAGAAGGAATTAAGTAAGGAAAGAACCTAAGAAGGAGAAGTAAGGGATTTACTTACTGAGCATTTTTATGCTCACCTCGTTGTTTTTCCATATTTTTGCAGGAAATAGGTGAGCAGCGGTTGGAAGGACGTCGACAAGCGGGGAGGATTGGCATTACTGTCCACTGTCGCTAAGTTTTTTGTACTTGTCATTTTGATATATGTAAAGAATTATGTTTTGTAAGTAAAGAAAAATTTGGGCCCAACTATTTTCATATACTAATTATGTATGTTTTCATAGTATATATTATAAAATATACTATTAGAAAGAAGTCATTACACGATCTGTTGTTTTCTAGTGTTTGTATGCTGGATTAGTAGTGGGGTTGTTACCATCAAGTGTTGGAAGTACAACAGCTGGGCATGGGTTTTCTCCTGTGAGAAAATCTGTAAGCTCTTGACTTTCAGCAAGTGCAAGCACTTGCTCACGCCATAGTGGGTAGTTTTCAGGTCGAAGCCTAAGTGTGACAAATTTACTACATTCAACGAAGTGGAAGACATTGTTTTGCTCTGATACCAAGAAGAAAAATGAAAACAGAGGAGTTGGGAAATTCATTACACTTATAACAGGCTGTGATACTCTGTATTTATAAGACTTTGTATATCTTTACAAAAAAATGGTTACATTGTAAACTGCTATAAACAATGCTATAATCATGCTAACGTTAATTATAAGATTTCACAAGATCATGGCTGTTATCACGCAAGCCTTTAACTACTAATTTGTTTCCATATTTTGCTATCATGCCAGAGCATTGCTAAGTTGTAGTATTGATGTCTTTTCAGAGTCTTCATCCACAATTGTAGCTTCTATTTTATCATATCTTAGCTTGTGAAAAACAAGTACTCTCCTATGTTTATTGTTTTTATCTTCTTTTGTTCTACTTCATCCACACATAAACCTAATTGACTTGTCNAAGGTGGTTTGAACTCAAGAAGTCAATAAGGAGGTGAATAAGATATTTTATAAATCAAATTCAGGTAATACCAATACTTAAAATTAAGTATGGTTTTATTAATAAGATGAATGGAGTTGAAACTTGCAACCCCAATGGCAATTATAAAGTGGCACTGGCACATCATATAACGAAAAGAGCTGGCAAATGTTGGGAAAAGCATGCATGGGCAGCTTGGGAATGGGGTCACTGGAGTTGACAATATTTCATATCACAAATGGGAAACTTCATCTATTTCCACCTCAAAAATTCCGTTTAAAATGCTTCTTTGGTCCCTGCTTCTATCTATATATATTTCATATTTGTGTCATGCATTCACTAGTTCAAACATTTGGATTTATGAACTTCAATTATTGTGATCATAACTCCCCTTATGTTATATTTTAATTTGGGGAGAACATGCACGTGTGCAGAGAGTGAGAGGGGTTGATTTGAACAAGTTTCTATTGTGGTTAAATTTGGTCCGAGACGCACCCAACCCAATTTCGGCCCAAACTTAAACAATGCTAAGCAACTGGGCCTCAATAGTTTTGCACTTATTAATCAAACAATTGTGAAAAAGATGTAGGAGCATCGTCCCATGCCTCGATATGATTAATAGCAGAGTATAAGGTTTGAGCTCATCAAACAAAATTCAAACTACTGGCAGGAGATTAGAGATGGGCAAAACTCAAAAGGCATGGCATTAAAATTTCTGAGCAACTGATCCATCTCCATGCCCGTGAGCTCTCTCTTTGGGATTCTTAGCAACAATGGGACAAACGATGCTGTGCCTAGACACTTCATTCCACGTGATTTACTCTTGTCCACACTAGTCCAAAAAGCTTTTATTTTCATCTCAGAACAAATATACAGGTGATAGGTAATCACCAATGAAGCTATTTAGCTTTTGTCAAATTACAAATTAATAGGCCGACTTGTTAAATCAAATTTCATTCTGTCAATATATATGTTTTGTTTTCAGATCACATGAAGAGCAAAATATACTGTCAATTTTTCGTTTGAAGCAAGCTTCTCTTTCATTCTTTTTGAATTTATTTTGAAGTTAAAACAACAAAAAAGAAAGGCCAACACTTTTATGTGGTACACAACAAAATCAAAGATTGTGTATGCTGTCTTTTCTTGTTGTCTTGGTTGTTCCTTTGGTTGGTTCTTTCCATAACATCAGATACTAAAAACAACAAACTCATTAATGATATGTATATTTATTTGTACACACAGTATATATTATGTATCAATGTTGCTGAGGCATCACATGCATTATCAACTTCATTTTTAGTCTGCTTCATGGCTGTAAGTTCATATTTGTCCCCTAATTTTTCAGTCAACCTCTTAATCCTCTTCTTCTTCTTGCACTTTGTTTTGATCCCTTGCAGGGCAAGACCACCCAAGGCAGACAGTCTTAGCTTTGATTTCTATGAGAAGACTTGCCTAGATGTAGAGAAAGAAGAAAAATTAAAGCAGAGGAGTTGGGAAATTCGTCACACCTACAACAGGCTGTGATACTCTGTATTTATAATCTTTACAAAATAATGGTTACATTGTAAACTGCTATAAACAATGCTATAATCATTCTAACATTAATTACAAGATTTCACCAGATTTCACACGATCATGGCTGTTATCATGCAAGCCTTTAACTACTGATTTGTTTCCATATTTTGCTATCATGCCAGAGTATTGCTGAGCTGTAGCTTCCGAGTCTTCATCCACAATTGTAGCCTCTGTTTTATCAAAGAAGATTATTCACAATGTGGTATCGCAGAAGCTCCTTGAAGCACCCGTCACTGCGGCTGGTGCTCTTCGCATATTCTTCCATGACTGCTTTGTTGAGGTTCCAATCAATGCCTTTTCAGCTGCATTACTTAATTAGTTATTATCAGTACAGTATAATCACCATAAATATATATTTTGTTTCTATTTCATCAACTTCATTTTAAAAGAAAATGATAATGAGAGCACCACTAGTCATCTCAGTTGGTTCACTACTTAATTTTTATTCTAAATATTCTATTATGGTATATGGTATTTTCATATTACCTATCCCATTAATTAATCATTTATATCGATGACACTTAAAACTGTTTATTAATACATTCTTTGAATTTATCCTTTAAAGGGATGTGATGCATTAGTGTTGATTGCATCAAGTGAAGCCAACAAAGCGGAGAGGGATTCAGAAATCAACCTATCGTTGCCTAGAGATGGTTATGATGGGTTCTTTCGGGCCAAGAGAGCTCTAGAGTTGCAGTGCCCTAGAATTGTCTCTTGTGCGGATGTCATGTCCATTGCCACCGGAGACCTAATCAATTTGGTCATTATCATCTTTACTTATTCACCAGTTTTTCCATAAAGGGTTCACCAAATAACTAGTCCAACCTTTAAGAAAAACAATTAAATTTTATATTAAAAAAATTCAATATTGCACAGGTGGGAGGCCCAAGATAGGAAGTCCTAAAAGGAAGAAGAGATGGACTTGTTTCCAAGGCTTCAAGAGCAGCTGGTGACATTCCTCAAGTCAACCAAACCATCCCTGAAATAGTCTCAATCTTCAAATCCAAAGGCTTAACCATCCTGGACATGGTGGCCTTATCAGGAGGTCACACTATAGGCTTCTCACACTGCAAAGAGTTCATGCCAAGAATTTATGACTACAACAAAACATTTGACGTTGACCCAACTATGGATCAGCATTTTGCACAGAGTCTTCGGGGTTCTTGCCCCAAGAAGAAATTTGATCCCATTGTGGTTGCACTCAATGATGTTACTACACCATTCATTTTTGACAATTCTTATTACCAAAATCTTCAAAAGGGGCTGGGGCTGTTGGCGACTGATCAGATGTTGATTTTAGACTCAACGACTGGTGGTTATGTTAAGAAAATGGCTGAAAATCAAAATGTATTTTTCAATTACTTTGTTTCTACCATGATTAAGCTGGGGAGTGTTAGGGTCAAAAATCGTCTTGGGCTTGACGAGGCCCAATAACGAAATAAACATGTCATGGCCTAAGGCCTCAACCCAATCCCGATTAGGCCTACGCTTAAAATCACCTTGCAAACTACCCACTATATGAGTTGGGCTATCCTATAAGTTAAGCTAAACTGGGTTTCAGCCCATTAGCCTGCAACAGTCTATAAATAGGAAATCAGAATCCCATTCTATTTCCTCTTCTACTAAGATTCCAAATCTTACTCAAACTATTAAACGTGATCTGATAAGGTCAAGAAATCATATCTCTTTCATGATAGGGATCATCTCCCAAAATAAGACTTAGTGTCCTACTAAGATTCCAAATCTTATTTAAACTATTAAACGTAATCTGATAAGGTCAATAAATCATATCTCTTTCATGATACGGATTATCTCCTAAAATAGGACTTAGTGTCCTACTAAGATTCCAAATCTTATTTAAACTATTAAACTTAATCTGATAAAGTCAAGAAATCATATTTCTTTCTTGATAAGGATTATCTCCCAAAAAAGAGGACTCAATGTCCTACTAGGATTCCAACCCCTTGGGTTCACTATAAAAACAGAGGCTTGCCCTCTTATTAAGGGGCAATCTCCAATAGTCAATATACACTACTCAAAACCATCATTTGCTCCAAAAGTTCTTGCTCCCAAGAACTAGACGCCTCCGCCGTAGTCCTAGCCTCCGACAAGACTCCTGGTAATTCTTCATACCCTTAATTCTTATCAAATAATCTCTTTCAGCCTCGCTGACTTGAGCGTCGGAGTGCCTACGGCAAACACCACCCCGATGTTTTCTGAAAGCTTCACGCTTGCCCTTTCATGTGTGCAGGTCTAGCGGATTGTCAGTGGCCTCAACCTCACGGGATCAGACCCTATTTTCATGACGGTAGATTTTTTGCATCTACAGGGAGCATTGGGGTTAAAACAGGAAAGGATGGTGATATTAGACGAGATTGTGGTTCCTTCAATGGTTAATACAATAACTCTCAAAATTATTTCTCCTCGTATTTATTTGTTGAATCCTCTACATCTTGGTTTCTCTTTAATATTAATATTTCGTTTTACAATGTTCAATATTATTTCAAAAAATATATAACCAAATGCAAATTTGATATGGATAAAATTACACTAACATCAATATCACCAATCATAATGAGTTGCCAGTTCCATCAATCAAAGTTTAGCAAACATTTAAAGACAAAATAAAATTAGTAGTAAAAAACCAAACTGACCTAAGTTGTTATTAAGAGCATTTATATAAATCATATCTCATTTTAAGATCAAGATTAAGGAGGGGTTCCCATGTATCAAGATAGCTCGTAAAAACACTCATTAGATTGAGAAAAAACACTCGTTATATTGAACTCAAAGGTATAAATGAACAACTCTCTTTATGGAAAAGGGGGGCTAAGCAAATGAGAGACATACATTTGAGCTTCAACCATTATTTTTCTATGTAAACAAAACATTACTCCATCTTTGTATGCCTTACAAGCGATATCAGAAAAATGGTCATATAATAATAAAATAACAATGGACGTAGGATTTGATTAAACGCATCTGAACCACTATAAAAATCTCTTTTGTCAATATTATATTTATGTTTCCTCAAACATATATTATCACTGCATCATAAACACTCCCATAATCTACTCACATTTGATTTCTTAACACTTTACAAGTGCGAAGTCGTTGATGTTAAAAATCAAATATCAACAAAATTCATTGGTTAAATGAAGTTATATAGTTAATCTAGCGTGCAGTACTATTTATACACTTGTTAAAGCTCATAGGATATCTACTAATTAATTAATCTCACTCTCTATGACTTGTGCATGTGATTTGAGGTTAACCATTTTCTTGTTTATAATCTATCAATAAGGGTTCTCATAGTGATCATCAAGCTGGGTATACTTTAGAATTGTCATCTGAAAATGGCGCCAAATAAAAATCCAACAGTTCCTGAAGCTCATTGCGACACATTATTCCCATTCCATATCCTAATAATTTCTATAATAACAAAAATGATTCTATTAGAGCAGCTAGAAGAATTTAATTAAGCTAAAACAGAAAATAGCGAATCAAACTTTAATCCTATAGCGTACTGAAACGACACTCTATCCAGAACAGACATGCATGCATTATGAGAAGTGATAGAGATTACCAGTTGTGTATGTTATTTGGAATGTCAATTTAGGATTTATTTGATGTATAGTATACTAAAGATAGGATTCTCATCCAATCCTTATTCCTTTTCTTTTACTTTGTGTGCACGGTCTCGTATCTCTTAAATTCATTCAAGAGGCAACACAAAATTGACACTTAAAAAAGCTACTGCAAAATTCCTCACATGGACTCCAATGTTTTTTTTTTTTTTTGGATGATCGGGTATTCGGATTAGTTTGTGCGCACCTCAACTAATCTTCAAGGTCTATTAAATTTATATTTTTTTTGGATAAACCCCGTAATTACCCATCCCACAACTCGAACATAATACTCCTAAATATAACTAATTATTTTAATGACTAAAGGACTAGCTATCCCATGGGCTCCCAACTCTGATGTTGATCATACTCAATTTTCAACGGCTAAGATTGTGCATGGTATTTCGTAATTGATAGCCAAATATAGATTATTAGTTTAAAAATTTAGAGTTGAGGTGGTACCACAAACCATTGAAAAATTGACCAAGTATTAAATTAATTTTTAAAAGAAATATTATCTCAACCCCCAACTTTAATCGAACTCTTCTCATTCTCTCCTCCCAAACTTAACCCGCTCGTCTTTCTCCATCTTAAAAAGTTTAGCAGAAAAATAAAATAAAAAACTTGCCCTAAATTTAAAAGTTGTATCTGGTGATGGCGTATCAAAAAGATTATTGAAAAAAGTGACAAACTTATTGAAGAGTGCGACTTTAAAACGAAAAGAAACTAGATTTGGCTGAAGAAATTTCTTCACTGTTTTTTCGAAAAAAAGAAAAAAACTAACATAGGAAAAGATAGATAAAAAATGTTTTGGTTGGATTGATAGGAAAAGCAAAGACACATAAAACTCCAAATTAACCAAAAAGATGGTGGGAAATTGCTTTTCATTTGTTTTTCAGAAAAAAAAAAAAAGACCAAATTTTTAATGGGAATTATCATAGATCAGAAAATGGGCTGACTGAAAAATGGAGAAAGAGTGTGAATTCGATAATCAAAGTACACATTTATCATCCATGGACAAAATTGAAAATGGTAGTTTTCCATGAGTAATAATTCAAAGGCTGATACACTTCTCTTATTAGTTTCAAATTTTTGATTTCTTGTATCAGTGTTGTCGGAGAACATAAAACTGGGTAAAACAAAAAATGGGGAGGCGGTGATGGTGGCAATGCCAGAGGTGGGACGCTGGTGAAGATACAATCGGCAGTTCTTTGCTGGAAACAATTGAAAAACAATCATTTCAAGTTAACCCTTAATATTATCGTTTATACTTGTTTGCTCCTTAAGTATATTTTTTGGTTTAAATAAATATATTACATGTCAATTTATTACTGGCTTGGCTGCCAACTTAAAATTCTTGAGAAGGTCCTCTGATCTTATCAAAAGATATTCATCAATCATTATCCTTGCAGATCAAGTGTCATGAACTACATTATATCTTTTTGAGACAAAACGTACAGAGATGCTTGCAAAATCCGTGGTGGATGTGGAACTTATTCTTTATCATAATCTCCTATCCATCGCCATGAAAACGCGTTCAAGCATGAATTTAAGAGAACAAGACAAAGGACAATCTCCCATGAGTCTATAAAAGCAGTAATTGTCTGCTCTTTTGTTTTCACATCAAAATATCAATCAATGAAGATGCATGGAGTAGTCTTTCAAGGGTTAATTGTTATACTTGATTTTGACACCAACTATTTGCATGTACAAAGTGTTAAGCTGACTTAGAAATTAACACGTGAATGGAAAATGAAGTAAATAAATGGGAGATGATTTTTAAAGTGGTTCGGATGCTCAAAGCGAATCCTACGTCTATTGTCTTTTTATAGATGAGAGATTACAATCAGGTCGTGCGTAACGATCAGAGAATAGAAATACAGAGAGGGAGAGTGAGTGTTTATCAAAATCCTGAAAATGAGAGGGGAACCCTCTATTTATAGTAAGAGATTTATTGGTAATGATTACAAATTTAAGCGTGCAGGTGCTGTACATTCCTACCCTGCTTCCCATTGGTTGTTGTACATGAATATCCTTAAATCGTTGTAGGGCTTGGGCAGGTGGGCGACTCCCAGCCACTCACAAACCAAATCTTTACCTGCCAAGTTTGACACCTTACTCCTTACTCCTTCCGTTTTGGGTGACGTGACAGCGCCTGGGCGGCACAAAACCTTCTTGAACTCTGATTGGTCCTTACTGACATAGCTTGCATTAGCCCTGATTTTTAGGCATAACAGAAGCCTTCCAGTTTTAAGGTTCAAGGTTTGAACCTTGAGAACTTCGATTATGCTATGATTTGACTTGTCCTAAATTGCTTGCTCAAACTACAAGTGGAGAACAACTGAAATAACATGAAGTTCACCATCTAACTCGACTAGTGAACTGAGTGGAGGTTGTGATTTGGATCTTTGAGAATTGCACAAACGATCTAAGGTGATTGTCCCCAAAGGTTCAGCGACCTAGGTCAGATTCTACTCAGTGCTATACCACATGCTTTGAACTTTATCCACCGCTCGCGACCTGAAAACACTTAGAATATTTTCACTAAAAACTGAGTCACTTCACTTCGCTCAATACATGGAGAAGAGTGTTTCATTTGAACGACTTCTTCAGATGTTTCCGTTGCACTTGACAGCTGGCCTGTCAATAAAGTATTTTATCTGACAGATGTATCTTTACGCAATAAGTGTTAGCCATAGATTAATGCAAGTCATGCTGAAATGACATTCTTTTTTAAAGCATTAAATGTGATAAGGCACATTTAATGTGGAGGAGATAACCCACCGACGTTTGGTGTCTCCACGGAGGTAAAGTGCGATTGATCTCCATGAAGCATGAAGTTACTCTTCAACAGGATGGGCGACACATGGTCGCATCCAACGACAAGGATGCGTCCCGCCCAAACGTCACTTGCAAAGGAAGCCAAACGTCGCCTTCTTCCTTATAAAACCCAAGCCCACTTCAAGCTTTTCACAGAACTCAAATCTTTAGAGAGAGAAAATAGAGTTTTTTTAACTCAAGGAACCAGTTCATCCTTCTTCCAATTGATGCGCACTTGCCGTTAATAGAGCGTTCGTCCCCAGCAACCAAGAGGTAAGAAAACTCTTCCCTTTCTTCTTTTTATTTATGTTAAAGACTCAGTCTTTTACAGCAATGGTATGCATGAACGTTTGGTAAACTTACATGATGCATATTCTTGATAGTGTTCAGAAAGGAACACTCTTCAGGGTTAAAAACCTAGGGCACAAATCTGTGGAACCCATCTCAAGGAGGTTTAGGGTTTTTAGGGTTTAAAGATGGAAAATTAGGGTTTCTTTTACTCTTTCAGGTCATTGTACGAAACACGTGTACAAGACTGAGTCACCTCCACGTGTCGCACCTTTTCAGACTTTAGGACAATGGATGCTTCAGAGATGAGAGCAACCAAGGGACAAGCTCGCAGCCCCTGAGCACCTCGGCAGTCCCGATAGGTGTACTATCGTCAACCACTGTGGATGAAATTCAAAAGTATAGACCAGTTTGCGATTATATAAACATCTACCAGCACAGGTCGCACACCGCTCAACACTCTCCAAAGGGAATGACTGTGATCTTAGAAGCAATTTTCAAATGCGGGGTGACGATACCCTTTCACCCCTTTATCAGGTCGATCCTTGATCACCTTCGAGGTCGCGCCATTTCAAAATGCCCAATGCGTATATGATAGCAATTGCTATGTATATCACATGCTGCAACAGGGACTTGGCAAGTTGATAGCGTTGAAACT